CATTATTATCATTATTACAGTTTTTATTGTTATTGTTGCTATTGTTGTTGTTGTTGTCGTTATCATATCATTATCATTATTATTTTCATTGTTATTATCATTATTATCATCATTATCATCATCATAAGTATTACTATTATTACAACTGCTACTAATTATTGTTATTATCATTATTATCATCATTACTATTATCATTATTATTATTTATCATTATTGTTATTATTATTATTATTATTATTATTATTATTATTATTATTATTACTACTATTATCATTATTACTATTATTATCATTATCATCAGCAGCACCTGAAGCATTATTAATATTATTATCATTATTATCATCATTATTACTATTATCATCATTATCATCAGCAGCACCTGAAGCATTATTATTATTATTCATATTACTATTACCATGATAATTACCTATATTACAATCTACAATATTATCATCATTACTTTTATGATCATTACCGTCAATACTAATGTTTTGACTATTGTTATCATTCACAACATCACTAATTACTGTTGTTATCATTGTTTATGCTCATTATTACGATTACCGTAAACGTTATAATTCTTATTAATTATCAATACCATAATCACCACTTTTCATTATCAATGTTATAATCAAAGTTAAGATCACTATCTCTCACTAATCGCAAACATTGCCCAAACATGACATTTACCATTATCATCTTATTACCAACATCATCAATATAATCATAAGGATTATGACCAAAATCATGACTTGCGCAAAATTCAAGACATCTGTGTAAATTCATATTGATATCATTACGCAATCACGTAGAAGGAAAAAATACAGCAACGGGTAATGTATGCACTGCCGGCCTGGACCGCCCCTTCCTATGCTTCATAAAACATAGAAAAATACCAAGCTCATGGATGGAAATGTCTGTCTGCTAAGGTTTACGGAACACAAGAAAGAAATATACTACGACATAAATAGGTTGACATTTACACTGGAATGATGAGAAATAATACCGTTCCATATATATAAATATATGATTTTTTTCTCCAAGCGTTTACTACTCCAGTTTCTGCTTTTACTCCAAAATATTGCTCAAAACTGAAATAGATGGTTTACTGAGAGTCCAATGTACACAGAGTCTCAGAAAGTTGTGTTAAAAAACTATGCAGATTATGTCAACTAAAAAAGCCGGGAGAAAGAAGCCTCTAGAAGTCGCTCTTTAAGAGAAGAGAATGGAGAAAGAACGAGACACAACACCCAAACCAACTGCACCTATAGTCTTTCCTGTTGTTCGGTCGGCTGTTGTAGTACAGGTCGTCCTCGAAGCCGCCGGTGTGGGAGCGCCCCTCGTTACGCTTGTTGTTCTCGTACGTGTCGTCGTAGTAACCGCGGTCGCTCGCCGGCCCGTACGAGTCCAGGGGGCCGTCCACGCCGTACTGCACGCTGTCCTCGCGCTCGTACGAGTTCTCGCGGCTCGTCTCCAGCGATCTCTGGGGCGTCGACATCTGGTTGGCCACCGACAGGAACTGCGACGCCGAGGAGTTCGGATGCTGCCCCACCGGGTAGTTGATATCGCTCGTGTAGTCGCTGTCCTCTGACATTCTCGCTGGGGAGAGACATCAACACACCAGTCTTAGAGGCCGAGAGCGAGAGAGAGAGGTTACTTACCAGGGTAAATGGGTTAGCAATGTCATGGCCCTGTCTCTGCAAAAGAAACTGGTTTCTTTGTGCAATAATGCTAATACTATTAGTAAAATTAGAGTCAAGTATCGTAATTACATGCTAACTATTGTGTATATATATTATCTAAAGTAAAAGCAAAATATCTAACTAATATTACGAAGGATAGTAATACTTAATTACTATTTCCCAGGCGGCAAGGGTTTTGAAAAAGTATGATCTCACCAATGGATTTCATTATTCAGATTCCATAAATCCTCACCATTAATACATATATCAAAAAGGCACACACAGAAAGTACATTCACACATGACTAATAAGCCATTACTTAGATGCTGCTTGAGGTAAAAACTTTAATAGAGATGCAATGGTACTTTGTTATTTGATAATCTGAATAGAGGAACCTTTGTAAACACACACGCAAAACACAAATGCTTTATATTCTTAATCACAGACATGTAAGCCCAAACTTATAGATCGGATAACACTTACCAAAGGTGCAGAATCATATTACAACCATACAATTTATACATTTTCATTAAATAAAGTACATTCATGAACACATTTGCATATGTATACACGAACACACAAAGACACTGATCAGTTTCGTAATTCCAAATCATTCCACATACGGGATAAATGGACAAACCAGGCACTCATAATGGTGACAATAGTCCGCACTCCCACGCACTCACACTCACACTCACACATGAGAGTCTGCTGGGGAGTCCTGGAGGGTCCCAGCGCCCCCCGGGTTTCCTGATCCATGAGGTGGTTGAGCACCTCCAGCTTCCTCTGCAGCTCCTGCGCCTCCGTCTCCTCCAGTTCTGTAAGAAAACCCATTAAGGGCACGAGGTCATGCCATATACTCATGAAGGAGCGGCGGCGGCGGCGGCGGCGACGGCGGCCACTACAGCACTACGGGGAGGTGGTCTAGCTCTCAACACAAACTTCGCTGGGAAAGGGGGGGGGCTTCTCTGGTATATTGAAAATCCGGGGCAAGGGGGGAAGGGTTAATAAGAAAATTATAATAATACTCAAAAATAAACGTTTTTGCGTGCTGTTACAATAAAGTTTTTTTTTTAAATAATAATTTTCATATGAATGAATATAACCAAAAAAAACTTTTTCTCTTTTTTTTTACTATAAAATTCTTAGTTGCAGCCATAATTCTTTTTATAGGCGATTCTCTCCATGCCTATAAAATTCATGACAGTGTTGGTGATATCTACTCTAAGTGCATGAATTTTCATACAGGTTCCTCTACAGCCTACTCACTGACCCTTGGTATTACCCTTTTGGTCAGAGCTAAATGTACAATATCGCTTAACAAGTTTTACGACGTGTTCCTAAAGTATATTTCTAACCAGTCTTTGCTCGAGTGTTCTGTCTAGTTGATGATGCAAGTTGAGTACTGAGAAGCAGGACAGAGAAGAGAAAGTGTCAACACTCGAGCAAAGCGGAGTGTCCTTAAGGGGCCTAAGGTTACCTTTCTTCAGCTCTCCTGAACGATTGGTCTCTGTGGCCCCTTTGTCAGGCTTTCCCGAAAGTTTGTCAGACTTTTCATCACATATTGCTTCATCACAAATTTTTGTAGTTTCTCCAAGTTTGAGCTTCTGACTACTTTCCGGAGGTGAGACTTTCTCACCATTAGTAGCAGGTGGCGAAGAAGGTAACTCAGGGCTAGGGGAGCGTCTTAGGTTTAATAACGAGAAAAATCTTGATTTTTCTCTGGGTGGAGAGGTAGCGGATGTGGAGACAAGAGGTGTGGTTGTGGCGGTCGTCAGTGTAGTGGCAGAGGCTTCACTGGTTCTTGAGAAGGAAAATGTGAATCCTGTCGAAGGCGACGAGATGAGGCTGGCTAAGGATGGCGATGATCTGAGCACAGTCGAGGATGCATCTTCCTCGGCAGAAGTTTCAGTATGAGGCAAGTAATCCTTCGTCAGGAAAGAAAATCGTGTGAGTCCAAAGGAAGGCTTTTCAGTGGACTCTTGCCCAGTAGTATCCGGCGGGGAGGTTGACTCACCAATCACAGGGGCGGTCTTCACAGGAGACCTTAGGAAGAACGTGGTGCTTGGGACATCGCCATTCACCTCCGCAGGGTACTCGGGCTCTGCTGAGGGCGAGGTCTTGGGGGACGGCACCTCGTCAGTGGCAGTCGACTTGGAGAAAAAGCCACTTGAGCCAGAGAGAGTTAAATGACTACAGGTAGACAACGAGTCCTCTAAGTTGGGCGATGGTTGTAGTGGATCGAGTCCTTCACTCTCCCTCAACAGTGTTTCCTTCAGGAGTTTGATGTTAAATATCCCTGAGGAAGGCGGAACACTTGGGCTAGACACTTCTGGCGATACTTTAAGTGATATTTCCTTATCTGGAGACGACACTGACAAAGAAGCAAATTTGGTAGTAACAAGCGTAACTTTCGAACTAGGTTGAGATGTTGCATATGTTGAAGAGACACTATTTACAGAGGTCCAGGAAAAGGCCTTCCCATCACTCGTGGGAGACTCGAGTTCCATCGTCTTCCGGGATGACGAAAACATAAATCTATATGAGGATTGAGATTCCTCGTTTTCGCCAAGAGTTTCACATTGCTCATTTCTGACATCGTCACACCTACTGAGAAATCTAGAAATGCTAGTTTCAGCACCTAATTCATCATTGCCAATTCCGGAGTCTACAGTCTCTGAGGCAGCAGAGGTAAGAAGAGAGGATCTGAAAGTCGACATAGAAGACTCTGGGTACTCGTCATCATCTTTTTCTGTGCCAGAGTCGATAGTCTCGAACGTGACAGCATTGAGGAGTTTAGCAGTGGAGAGACTTGGGTGGGCGGTCGGCGGGGAGCCCGTGGAGGAGGAAGGTGGTGAGAGGGAGGAGGAAAGGGCGGTGCCCAAGCCTCCAGCTCCGTCAGTGGAGGCGGAAGCTTGGCCGACCCCCCCTTTGCCACACAGGCCGTTGTGAGGCACGGGGTCCAGAGCTGAGGGAGAGACAACCCACACAGTAAGCCGGAGCCCCATCCACCACCCACATCCAGTAAGTACACCCACTCAATGTACACACTCAACTAAGTGAAACTTGGCAGGGCCACCCTTGAACTTGAACAAACCGCCTGCTTAAAGGCTGAATCCCCTTTATCGAAAGATATATTTCAAGATATTCAGCTCCTCTGCAGAAGGCGTGGGAGACTTCTGACATATATTACTAACTTCATGACTGATTAAAACTCAATTATAGTCATTCTCAGTGCGGATTTTTAAATGCTATTAACTATAAACAATTTGAGTGCCATTAGACTTATCTAAGGGAGGGAGATGACTACTGTCTAACCCAAAGAAAGGAAATGCAGTAGAGATAAGGAAGGAAAGAGACAGCGGGAAGGAGAGGACTGTCTTGAAATACATCCCTGACCAGATGAAGGAACTCTGCATTTGGTAATGTCAGTGCCGTGAAATTAACCAAATAACGTGAAACAACACGAGCTTACCATAATCAGTAATGGTCAAGGAATGTGTTAATTGCTATCACAAGTAACCATTTCCTCCATAATCATCACTTGACTAGGCAAAGGCTAAGACCTTGAATCCAGCTGAGAGACCGGGTCACTGGGCAGCGTCAGGTCGTCATCTGGTCGCCCTGTGCATCGTGTGTGCATCACTCTGATCAGGGACCATCCTACAGACCGCAAGAAGGGTGGAGGGGCCAACTACTACGACTGCCTACCAACTACGGGGATTTAGAGAGGCGAGACAGATAAAGATGAAGAAAGAAAGAAGGAAGGAGACGGAGAGGCCAAGGTGGAGAGAAAGAGTTTGAAAGCAGCTGTGACTCGGCTACACAAAGCAGATCAGCTTCTGAGGTGTAAACATTCACGACGGAGAATGGATCAGTCTGGGGAATTACTCAAAGCGCATCCTGTGATATGTGTGCTTGGGGAGGAAGGTCGCACTAACTGAGTGTACGAAGATGGAAGCCACTGAGATCATTCCGTTCTGGTGTTCTTTTTTGAAAGCTTTTGCCTTGAGGGACGAGTCTGCTACCTAAGGTCACTTAAGGTGGCTGTAACTATTAGTCCGCAAAAGGCTTGTCTCAGAAAGTTATACTGGTTTATTCAGAACACAAACAAAATAATATCATCAATGAAAGTAGCAAATTAACGCAGTATTAGTAATTCTCGATCATATATTTTTACATTGCAGCAAAGAAAAGAAAACAAAAGTGCGACAAATTATCAAAATAAAAGACCAAAGGGGGGACAAAGCAAATCAAAAATCAAAATACATTACCTGAATCTAAGGTGAAACTATTGAAATATTCATATATTAAATGAGGGTGGAACTATTACCAAAAAAGAACAACAGGCACCTTGGAACATGCCTGAGGAACTTGTTCTACTCTAAGGGGAACTAGAATGCCAAGCAGTCAAACAATATGTGGGTAATATTTCTATACGGATGAGAAACAATCGGTTTTGGAATTGTTGCTGGTTTGGGCAATCTTGACACAAGCACAGACATTGACAGTATAATATATGAGGACCATCGTTTTCAAAAATCATTAATATGTTCAGACATTCTTTGAGTTTTAAAAGTAACATTGTAAGAACAGTAAAATTCATAAACAGCATTTTGCGAAGTATATACAAAAAGAGGAATAAATGTTATTAGTCTTACATACTATTACAGACATCTATTTCAAATGCAGCTGCAGTCGGTTTAAATAGCTAAATTAATAAATCAATGAAAAGCAAAAGTCTGAAAACATAATGATTAGTAAAACTATGTCTTCAATATATTTATTAGAAAACAAGAGGGTGGGGAGGGGGTCTGTTGGAGGCGATGACATCAGAACCGCAGGCCTACCACAAGTGATAGAAAAAATGTAATTATATACGAAAAATAGAGGAACATTTCAAGCCACAATGACACAAGAAGCTGAAAAAGGGGAAGAAAAAAGGCATGGGAGTTTATGACGCCCCATGTGTCTGGATGCTTATGACTGGTGGGACTGACTGGTGGCCCTTGGGTTTTTCCTCGGCCGTTTCTTGTACCACTTCTCACTATCTCTGCACGCTAGTGTGTTCAGTATTCATAGTGAAGAGGGGGAGGGGGATGACGTGGGAAGCACAGATTATTAGAGCACTGGGAGGATTAAAAATGGGGCTTTACTGAGAGCATAAAAATTTTTTCCTCTACAATTTTATAAATATTATCCGTAAGTACAGATGCACTGGTTGTTTAACATAAGCATTTTATTATTAACGTAAGAATGCAAGATGTAAAGTTTCTAAGCAAAAACCATTTTTGCTGTGGTAAGGCAATACTTTTGGCAATATTTATTAAGAAACAAGTGGGGAGGGGATTTATCTCTATAAATGTTCTTTTTACGTGTTTACTCATACGAGAGTGTGAGTGTGAGTGTGCGTGTGCGTGTGCGTGTGCGTGTGCGTGTGCGTGTACGTGTGCGTGTGGGTGTGGGTGTGGTTGCGTGTTCGTGTGCGTGAGCGTGTGCGTGTGTGTGTGAGTGTGCGTGTGAGTGTGCGTGTGAGATTGCATGTGAGTGGCGTGTGTGTCTGTGTGTGTGCGTGTGAGTGGTGTGTGTGTGAGTGGTGTGTGTGTGTGAGTGATGTGTGTGTGTGAGTGGTGTGTGCGTGTGAGTGATGTGTGCGTGTGAGTGGTGTATGCGTGTGAGTGGTGTGTGTGCATGTGCGTGTATGCGTGCATGTGCGTGTGTGAGCCCGTGTGCGTTTGTGCCCGTACGTGTGCGTTTACGTGTGCATGTGCGTGTGGTATTTGTAAATTGTGTGTCTGTGAGTATCAGGGTATATGCC